AAGTTTATGGATAATGTCTTCGCGAGGTGTGGCGCTTGATTTGTTTAACTTTCTAAGAAATGTATTAACAATGTGGTCATGAATGGTGATGTGGGAATGAACTCGGGCTTCTTTTTTTGCGTTGTCTACCATTGATGATTTTTTATTTAAAGATTTAACCGGAAGATTAGGTATACCTTCAATAGGTTTGGTGGGACGGTTGGGGCATTGAAAGGACCAAGCTTGGTGCTCAGTTGAATTACAGCTCAAGCATTTAGGGGGCAGCTCAGAGGTGCATTTCAAGGTGGGATGATTTTCACTGCATTTCAGACACTTTATGGGGGTGGAACATTTGTCTGTTGTGTGTTAATTAAGCAGCTTTTCGTTTAAAATGGAATTTTTGGTAATTAGCCTTATGAAATGTGTTGGTTGATTAGTAGTCCTAGAGATTATTCTTTTACAGTATTGGATTGCAGAATCTTGTTGCTTAAGATGGGCAAGGATATCATTGTCGGAAATATCTTTTTCAACGTTTGATATTACGCATGAGTAAGAAATTGATGGAGTATTTGGGGTTCTTGGTGATGTTTTATAAGGTTTGGTTTCAGTAAAGTTGGAGATATGTTTATTGGTTTGAAGTTTTTTTAACAAATTTGTAAGAATGATCTTTGGGGAGTCAGATTTAAGTAAGAAACCTTTGGTAGTTTTAATGATTGTGTCACTGTTATGTGGACGTTCCTGTTCCCATAAGTCAGCTACTTGGGTTCTTGTAGTGAAGTTATCAGTTGAAAAATAGAATAGGTTTAAGTATTCTTTATGTAGGATTTTTTTCATGATGTTAGAAGTGTTTTTTTTGTAGTTTAAGGAATTATTGGCATCGTTTGAGGTTGTAGGTAGACTTGTTGAATTGTTGGGGACTTTTGAACATGAAGGTAGATTTGTCACATTATTGGATTGAATTGATTCTTGTGATATGTTAGTGTTATTACTTGGACCTTTATCTACTGATTTCTTACGTTTTTTTTTCTCCAATCCGATAATGTCCCTTATTTGTTCGTCAGATAGTTGCCTTGCGTAGGTTATGAACTCCGAACTACTATACTTTCTCTTCTTTGATAAAAATTCCGAAAGGGGGTTGTCGGTGTCTTCATCTTCATCGCCCGAAATCTCCATTGTCTTGATTTTACACTTGTTTTCACAATATAGACTTTACCGATATGTACACGCGGACGTGATATTTTAGGTTATGAAATAGTTATATTTTCGTTAATTTTTAAATAAGTAAATTTCACATGTATTAACATTTTTATCTTTTGTTTTTCCTATGGCCGCCATATTGGAATTTTACAGCTTAGATAGAAAAAATGTATCAAACTACATAAGTTATGGCGACCATTATAAAAACAAAAGTTGCGTAAATTCCAGTCTATTTGAATAGAATTTAAAAATTGAATAGTTTAAGCAGTTAAATAATGAATTTTGAAAAGAGTGTAAACACATTTATCTACATTTGTGATTTTTTTCGCCAACTGGATTTTGAGATATAACCACCATCTTTTGTTTTTCCTAAGGCCGTCATATTGAAATTTTACATGATTACCTTGATAAAAAAACAAGGAATCCAACAATGTATCAAACTACATAAGTTATGACGACCATTTTAAAAACAAAAGATGGTGATGGTACCTAACTCAAAACATACTAGAGAAGAAATTGGATGAACATGTAAATAAATGTGTATGATAACATGTAAAAATTACTTAGTTTCAATATCCCATGAATAAAGATTTTTGGTTTTGAAAGGTTTTTAGTTTTTTAAAAAAACTTTTTTCAAATACATATTTTGAGAATTGCTGGCTTTATGTTAATATACTTTAAGTTACGCAACTTTTCTGTAATTTAACCGACCTTGTAGCGCTAACTTTTAATAATCAGCTGTCAAACGCTTAGGTTACATACTAGTGTTTTTGAGAATGAAGCCGGAAAATGTTAAAAAAAATATCGAAAAAAAACCGTGGATCGATTTGTTGTGTTGTTGGGTGTATTTCGAGAGGAAATCCTGGGTTGATTTTTTACCGGTTTTCCAATAAACAGTGTTAATCTGAATGAAAAAATAAATTGCATACAGTCTCTGTAAATATAAATTGTACCTATTAGATACAATAAATACACATTTTAGTAGTGATTAACGTAAAAAACATTTTAATTCAGTAAAAATCGTCAAACAAATAAGTCGTCTAAATTTAAACAGCATTTAGCATTATTAAAAGCGTTGATTAAGAAAGTCTCCACTTAACAGTAAAATACCATTATATTATGTATTATATATAATATTATGTTCCCATGAATTCGTAGGTATATTTTGTTGTTTAAAATGCATTTGTCGACGTTTTTTAGAGAACTCAAATATAAAAATGATTAATTTTAAGGTTATGTTTGTGCAAAAATTATTTTTATTAATTTCTCAAAAATGTCCAAACTTAAATATAAATTATATTAGGTAAAGTTATCATTAGTTAATTCTGCGCCAACAAATGTACTTACCGAATTGGATCCTTTGGCAAAACATGAAAATGCAACGATTTAGTTCTTGAATTTTATTTACAATTAAAAACACAATAATTCACCATGATCCCTTTGATAAAATACACACACTAACGTAACTATATAAGTATTTAAGCGTTGAGTTTCTTAATCAATGATATAAGAAATAATCGATCGAAATCGAGTACTAAAAAAGTTTTTTAATTTTGCAACGTAAAACACAAATAACGGGCGCGATTTAGCTGTGCTGAATTGCCGGAATGCACAACCGACGCAGCGCGGGGCCAGTAGGCTACTACACGGAGACCGTTCAATTTTAACAAAATTCTTTAAATTAAACTCGCGATAACTCCTTAACTAAACGTGCGATTTTTATGAAATTTGGACAGAATACTTAGATTGGTACAGCGATGCTATTAAAATAAAAAATACAAAATTTTAACCACAATTAATTAATAAATGCATCAATATTATTTAAGTTATAACTATGCTTAAACTAGTAGATGTTTATAAATTATATATATACGGTTTTTTTCTTGGTAAAATAAAGAAGTTTTTCTCCAAATTTGACAATTATTGATAAATTATTATAGCCGTAATACAAATAAATAAAAGAGCCCGCGGCGCGCTGCGGCGGCGTAAAGACAACAAAGTGCACAAGAATCGAAACTAAACTCGATTTATCACGTTAAAAGCTTAATTTGCAACAAATCATTTATTATTACTTATTATAACTAAATGTGTTTACATTGAACACTTTACACTGTACAATATAAAACACGAATTTTATTTTGAAATAAAATGATTACCTAGCCTAGGGCCGCTACTGTTTGCTATTTTTATCAATAATTGACCGCTAAGTGTTAAATATTTATCTTGGCTACTGTTTGATTTGATTTTTAAATATATAAACAGATTAACAACGAAAAAGATAACGAAATGTTACAAAAAGACCTAGACTATGTATCAGAATGGCTTCAGTAAATAAGATGTTTCCTAACGTAGAAAAGTGTGCAACTATAACACACACGTAAATATAAATTTATTAATAGTACATATAATCTAAATAACATTAGCTTAAGTAGAATTTATTAATGTAAAGATCTGGATGTAAAATTGCAATTAAATATGAAATTCAACTCTACCTACAATGCAATAGTACCTAAATAAGGCATTTAGGGTACTTGGTTTTGTACTTAGAAATGCCAAATATTTTAAACATATTTCATCCCTTACTAAATTGTATATATTGTATGCATTAGTGAGGCTTCATCTTGAATATGCTTGTATTATCTGGTCACCTACAGCAGAAAGTAATAGTAATGTCATTCAAAAAGTACAAAAAAGATTTCTTAGATATTTACATGTAAGGAATATAATTTATACCGGTTTTTGGTATCATATGTATCTATAGATACTGTATCTAAGATACATACATTTGGTTTCCACAAATTATTATTCTTCGATCTTTTTCGTCCGATTTGTTCGGACGAAAAACATCGAAGAATAATAATTTGTGGGAAGCAAATGTTGCTAAAAGTTAAAAGATATGGTAATAATTTTATTTCAAAATAAAATTCCTGTTTTATATTGTACAGTAAACAGTGTGCAATATAGTAATAATTACTGATAATAAATGATTTGTTGCAATTAAGCTTTTTACGCCGCCGCAGGCTCTCTTATTTATTAGTATTACGGCTATAATAATTTATTAATAATTGTCAAATTTGGAGAAAAACTTCTTTATTTTACCAAGAAAAAAAACCATATATATATATATATGTATATAATTTATAAACATCTACTAGTTTAAGCATAGTTATGACTTAAATAATATTGATGCATTTATTAATTATTTGTGGTTAAAATTTTGTATTTTTTATTTTAATAGCATCGCTGTTAATAGTTATTCAAGGTTGAAATTATTCCAATATGTTCACTCAAAAAAAAAGTTATAAAATTAAAAGTTAAAAAAAATTCCTGTGTTATTTAAACGTTACATTTATTATATGTCTAATTTCAACCTTGAATAACTATTGAAGGAGTGAATTTACGAAAAAATTATAAGAGACATTTTTTGTAGAACGTTCAATTTTCTTCAAAAATATATAGAGTTCATTCCAATATGTTCACTCAAAAACAAGTTATAAAATTTCAAAGTTAAGAAAAAAGAATTCCTGTGTTATTTAAACGTAAAATAGAAATTCACGATGAGCGACCTCTAAATATTAATATTAAGAGCTACAATTTTCACAGGCTTCTTTTTTCACTACTAGGAAGATATATCAATGCGGGCTTTGAAGAAAAAAAAATATTCGATTTTTTTTAACCAGTCTAGTATACACATAGAAGGATACTTGGTGCACCCTGTATTGCCATTTAGGTGAATATATGTTAAACTTGAAGTTGTATATTAAAAAGATAGAACAGAAATGCATATTATTTTTTAATTTTTACCTACTAAATTTTTATTGTAGATGGCATCAGAACGTGAAAGCAGTAGTGGTGGATCCAGTGAACAACAGCAACAACAAAGTGAAGAGCCAAAAGAAAAGAAGGAAGAAAAGAACTAATTTAAAGGTTTTGGGTGTTGTATGCTTACAAACATTCTAGTGTAATATACAAAAATATTTACATATTGTGATTAATTTACATGTTTAGTCAAACGCGAGACACATGTTTATAGTTAATTGGTGTCTCCAAAAGACATTGTACGATTTTCCAATTAAAACATGCATCCCTTTGTCTTTATTTAGTTGCTGTTTTAGTTAATGGAAAATGGAAAATGAAAAATTATACATAATGAAAATGACTGGAGTTGTGCCCGTGTATGTGTGAGAGTGTGGATGATTCTATTAGTTCTGTGTTGTTTTTATAGTTATTGCACTTAACTATTTTTATCTGAGTTTGTTATGAATTTCTGTTAATTATATTAAAATCCTTAGTACAATATATTTGGTATAAAAATAACAAATGTCTTTCATTATACCCTTGTGAATATCTGGAACTTTTGTATTATGTTTTATTTAAAAACAAACAACTGTAGATCATAAGTTTGGACTCAAACATCTACATCTTTATCTATCTCTCTGGATTTATAATAAACGTACTATTGGTCTTCAAAGATTAAACATTTTTTTGCTACAACCACTAAAGTTCATTTTTTTTTATCTGGACTGCGGCAACGTTGCAAATTTAGTGTTTTGGTTGGTAAATACAGTCAAGTTGGTCGCATTGATTAAAACAAACTAAGCTAGTTATAAATCTAATTGTGGTTATGTATAAATTATTGTAGGTTACATTGTGCAGTTGTCAAGTTGAGTTGTCGAAATTCGTAGTTAAATTCAATTAATTTGGCTTTGGTGGTGCTTGGATGAGTAAAATCATATTAAAAAGTAGTTAAATATAGGTTGCTTTACGGCCCAGAAGAGAAAGTATTCCTAGCGGATAATAATCTTTGCTTTGAAAAGAACTTATATAAAAGAAATTAAAATTTTTTTGTGAACGTAAATGTTGTCCAATGGTGAATAATGTGAAAATAATGTATGATGTAATATTTATAAAACCAAATTCGTTACTTTTTTACTCCAAAAATGTCCATAAGGCGATGTACTTTTTCATTGAAGAAATGGATCCATTGTGGCATTTGCCCTCAAAATGGCTTTTACATTTGAATTCGTTGCTATTATTTTTGGCATAATTATCTTTTTATTTATAATTGACCAGTAAATGATTTATTATCTATGCAGTAAATTATCAATAATAAATATTATTGTCAATTTGACAGTGTCAAAGTATTTAATTAAATTTTTTAGCAGAAGTACCATTTTTAAATACTAAGTCAAACTGGCATAAGCCACCAACCTAACAAAAAAACACGAGACCAGATAAAAAAAATGAATTGTACTAACACTACAAGCAAAACAAAAGAAGTTAAAAAATATTTCTATAAATAAAAATGATTAAAAAACAAGATGCCTAGCATTTACTACAAGATTAATAATAACACTGTGCGACAAAATAAGGGTCAACATTTCTCAGACGAAATCTGTTCACTAATTATGGAAGAATGCCTCCCCAAAAACATATTCCCTGAAGGATTTTGTTCGATTAGTTCGCGTTTTCAAGTAATTATTATATTATTAGTCCAGATAAAAAAAAAATGAACTGTATGTAAAAGTCCCATTTTGTAATGGCATTGTTGCTTAGAAAATAAATATTTTTATTGGCACATCAAAACACGAATGTGAAGTGAAATTTCTGTGTGAAATTGACATCACCCAGCTAGCATTTATGATTTCATATTGACGTCAGAATAAAATCAGACGTGAAAATCGTTCGTCACGTCTGTCGAGAATCTGACGTCAGTAGCGCATACGCGAATGTCAGCAATATGAAGTCAGACTGAAATCAGATGTGATTTTTGTTACTGCTGACGTTCGCTTTGAAATCATACTGATGTCAGAATGAAATCAGATGTGATTTTGTAAAGAGACCGGTAAACCGGTAGAAAGAAAACTTTAAAGAATAAGTAAAATCAGTCGAGATTTTTGGTCCCGCTGACGTTGGCTTTGAAATCATACTGTTGTCAGAATGAAATCATACTGTTGTCTTTCAGAAATATTTTACCCTTATTTTTTAACACCCTGTTTATATTAGGGGTGGGCAAAATAATCGATAATCAAACCGTCGATTTTTTTTGTAATAATCGATTATTTGATTTATCGATAATTTGATTAATCGATTATTGATTAATCGATTATTTTATTAATCGATTATTGACTAATTGATTATTCAATTAGTCGATTATTTGATTAATCGATTAGTGATTATTCGATAAATCGATTATTTGATTTGATTATTCGATTTATAAAATAAAAATTTGTTTTATTCAACCAAGAAACTATATAAAACCGGTTCTAAATTAGAAATTCTAATATATCAACTAGGTTAACCTATAGTGATTTTTCAGAAAACGCATTTTTATGATTTATGCTGGGTTTTAAAAAAATCTGATAAAATTTTTAAACTTATATTGCATGCAAGACAATTAATAATTAATCAATTAATCAGTAATTAATTAAACAAATAACCGATTAATCAATTAATCAAATAATCGATTAATCAATAATCGATTAATCAAATAATCGATAAATCAATAATCGATTAATCAAAAAATCGATTAATCAAATAATCGATTAATAGAAAAAAACGATTATTTTAAATAATCTATAATCGAAGTTAAACATCGTCTACCATGTCATTTATAGTTTGACGTACGTTAAAGTATAAATGATATGGTAGACGATCACAAGTTTAACTTTTGAACGGGAACAGTAAAGACCAACGGCAATTAATACGCCAATAAAATTTGATTGCTGAAAAGTTAATAATTATAATTAATTATACCCAATAAAATTTAAAAATAAATACATTAATTTTTAAATTTTATTGCAATAAAACCATTTGTTTCCTGAAAAAAAATTCCAGTGAAGGAGGAAATCTTAAATTGCTATAAAAAATTAAAATAAAATACCAAAATTTTTTGATTAAAAATTTAGGTATTTACAAAAAAAAAGAATTCTTAAATCTGGCGCAATTTACCTGGCGCCATTCCTCTATGGTTGAGTTAGAACTTAAAATTATACTGAAAATCATATTTGATCTCATACAGACTCCAGTATGAAATCAGGCGTGCTTTGAAACTTAGAATTAATTATACTGAAAATCATATGTGATATCATACAGACTCCAGTATGAAATCAGGCATGCTTTGAAACTTAGAATTATACTGAAAATTATATGTGATCTCATACTGACCTCAGTATGAAATCAGGCGTGCTTTGGAACTTAGATCTAATCATATTGAAAATCATACGTGATCTCATACAGACCCCAGTATGAGAACAAACATGATTTTGAACTAATATTCGCGCCCGATCGAAACTCACGTGGGTATGCATACCCATAACCATGGTTGTTTATTTGTATTTGTCCCATTGTGTATAGTCCTTCGTAGGGGACTTTAAGCCGGGAGTCCGTTCCTACCCCTTACCCGCACAAGCTATAGCCTAAAGTCCCCTCGACGATACACAATGGGACGAGCACAAATAAACAAATATACCCTATAGATTACATTACATTACATCTAAACGAGAACTATATATAAGCTATAGCTTATAAGCTTAAATAAAATTAGCTTGTAAGCTTGGAACTTATGGAATAGGTACCCTTAACTGAAAATCATGCCTGATCTCATACTCACCCCAGTATGAAATCAGGCATGATTTGGAACTTAGAATTTATATTGAAAATCATGCGTGATCTCATACCGACTTCAGTATTAAATCATACATGATTTTGAATGACTGAAAATCACATCTGACCTTATACTGACTTCAGTGTGAAATCACAGAGGGAAAACAAAATCACAGATGCTATCTGGGCATCGTTTGGCATTCGTTTCCAAATTTGTATTGTATTTGTATATGTACATATGTCTAAATGATATTAATATCATTACTACTATTATGTCTAAATATCATTTAGAACTCAATTGTGTTTGTATACTAAATTCTAATTTTTAGTGCCTTTATTTAAATTAAGAAGGTAAGTTTATTGATTTTAAGTAACTTATACATTAAAAATTAAAAGAATAAGATTATAGTAATTTTAGCAGCTCTCAAACACGTTTATAGGTTATTTTGTTTTGTATTTGAAAATAATAAAAATAAAAGGGTCGTAGAAAAAACATTGTATTTCACTTGTGAGAAAAGCTTTCTTCAAGCTCGTGAGCAACTTAAACACTCATGAAAAAGTCGCTTTTTAACACAAATAACTCATGTATGCTTTATAAAGGCTATAGCCTTTTAAAAAGTACACAGCTTTTTTTTCCTGAAAGGTTACACACAAACGCGCCATTTTGCAGTATAACGACGATTTGAAAGCGAGGAAGATTTGATTATTGTTCGCTATTTCTCAATATTTAGTAGACGTAAACGTAAAAGGTCAATATTGGATTTACCTGAAAATAAAACAAAATATTCTAGATAATCTAATCCGTAGCTCTGCTCCATTAAAAGCCATTAAAAAGTTTACAATTATTCCATTGCCAATGGTGCTCCATGTTAAATAAATAGTATGCATACTATTTATTTAGGAACACCCATTAATTGGTGAACATGAACATGGAGCACAATTGGCAATGGGGTAATTGTACAGTTTTCAATAGTTTCCAATGGACTTCTTTAAGCAGGGAATATTGGAATAATTTTAAAAACATTTGAATAAAAGTAAACACCTCAGATAACATTATGAGGTTCATAATTGACGCACATTGCAGTCACAACGTGATTATAATCCGCACGTATGCACGCATTTATGCATCATTTGCGTCATGTGATGGTTGAATGAACGTAGGAGAAAAATTACTCGTATACATACACAGAAAATTATAATATATTTAGCTTAAGCTTTAATATATTTAGCTTGAGCCAATTGGCTTAAATAAATCCTTTATTTCGATATACAAAACCATATATTTATTTGTTGGACAACTTAAGTAATTACATTTACTTGAAGTATTTTTATCTATTTTGCGTTCATAATGACTTCATTGTAACACCGCTTTCGGTGATGTAATGAGGTACTTTACCCCACCCAAAATTTTGATTTTATAGGTTGGCCACTTTAACAGTAAAATAATATTTTTCATATTGGTTATAATATTTTTTTAGTACTTAAGAGACTTTTCTGGTAATAAAGAAAATCTTTTTTTTTCTTCTTTAACATTAACAGCCGCTTATTGTAAATAAGTAAATTAAGGACGCCATGGCGAATCGATTTTGACGTAAACCCTTCAAACTAATGACTGTGATACCAACTATCTAAAGTAAAATTCGACCAAATTAAGTATAAGGTATAAAATTAATTTTTAAATTTTTGCAAAATAGATAAAATAACTTAAAGAA